TCATTGTTGGTCGCAAAAAGCTCATCCAGAAGTAAGGAAACAGCAACTGACATGTTTCATACGTTTATGATTGTTAAGAGTTTTCAAAATGATTGCTAAGTTATTAATAAAGTGGGAGAGCATCAACATCAATAGTTGTATGACAATAATATCCACAGAAGTCGGATCCCTGATGTTTTGTATGTGTCAGGAATCAGGGAGTCATTCTGGAGTTGGATCATTCATGTGTCTGCGTGTGGGAGTAGAAAGCCCTCACACACAGAACAGGAACCTTGGCTGTTTACGGTCTATTACGTAGATGTAGAAATCTCTTGTATACCTCCCTGACAGGTTCTCTAAGGCCACAAGGAGCAGTTAGATTATCTTTTAACTAAATACCTAATAGACTGGAACAGATAACCAAACATAAAGCAGGGTTTGATACCACATATATTTTTTCGGTAGATCAGAGGCCCAATATAAATCATATCTAATCAGGTGTTTTATATCGGATTATAAATGACCGTCTGAACCTTTCTTCCTGCCGAGTCTACAAAAACCCTTTAACAGCATCAGAAATGCAACAAGGATCCTTTAAGGCGTGATAACTTTTCATTGTGCTGCAAAACAAACAGAAATAAGACATACTTTAAAGGGGCCCTAAAATGCTTGTCTGGGTTTTCCCTTTCCTGTTTCACAGTAGAGCCACAAAATATAAATATGAACCTTAAAAATTAGCGCAACAGGCCGTTTGAAATCAAATGTTTTATCATTTTAATGAATCTAGTGTTTCATGCGCTCATTATTGGAGCTAGTCCAAAGCACTTAAAAAAACAAGTGAAAGTGAAAATGCATACAACTGGATGAATGTGCATTTGATCATACTGCAGGAGTTTTGTGAGCGTTTTTAAAAGGATGTTTTGATATATTTTTTCTGTTAATTGCGTCTCCCATTTATTTCCAATTATCAAGACTTCCCTCAATTTTTTAATCTTCCTTTTATATGTAAACATGCAAGAGTTCTGCGTGTGGCACAGTGCGTTAGTGCGCTGATCTTCGAATCAGAGGATAGCAAGTTTGAGTCCCACTGCAGTCAGCATGTCGTTGTGTCCCTGGGTAAGACGCTTCACCTCAAATTGCTCCTGTGGGGATTGTCCACAGTACTGAATGTATATAAGTCGCTTTGGATAAAAGCGTCTAACAAGTGACATGTAATGAAATGTAGGTCATTGGTATACAAGTTCATTTGTGGTTGAAGTCTTCCTTTAAAGCTATGAAATGTCAGCAGGTTTGTGAAACACCACACTTTAGACCACAGCAGATGAAAGACTCTTTTGTTGGATGTCCTGCTCACCTTGTCGATGATGTCGTCCTGCAGGGGGGGTCCCAGGTCGATGCTCTTCCTGCTCTCCTCTCTTCCTGTTCCTGTAAATCAAACAGTTCAATTACTCACACACATTCAGTCCAAATGTAAAATATTTTAACAATTGAGGATTCAAGAAATCAAGAAGGTTTTAAACAGCTTGTATAGTAGTACTTACTTATAATGCTAGAAAGACATTAAAGGAATCGTAATGGTAGATCTAGCAACACATTAACCCAAATCTGTCCAAAGTCCTGTTGACACTAGAAATGGGTAATCTATTTTATTCAACCCTCAGTTACAATGTTGTGTTATTGCCACATGGTGACAGGAGGAGGAGCTTTTCATTTGATTGGTTGATCAAAAACCATTTGTTTGTGAACATGTATTCAACGCTACAACAATCAGAGCAGGATCTTTCAAACAGACTTTGCCTGTTGGGGTATTTCCCCCAAAACTGATGTTGAAAATGCATTGTCAGCCAATAATATAATGCTTTTTAACATTAATATAATGCTGTGTTACAAATCCAAATACTGAACAACAAAGCAGGAATTTTTAGAGGACCTCTACTTGCAACAGTATTAGCAGACTACTTGTTGCAGTGTGCTAAAATACATTTAAACCAAAAGCTACATGGAGGGAAAAACAACTGAAAGAAGAATGTATGGTATGCTTTGAAATGTTGCAGTTTATGGCTGAATTCACTGTATTTTGGCCCAGTGAAGACTCAATATTCAGTCTCAATAGGTGTATTTAAAGGTCCCCTATTATACTGTTTGTCATCAATATAGTATAGGTCTCAGATACAAAACATGTCTCTGAAGTGTTTGGCTCCAAACACCAAACAGATCATTGCAGCATTACCCATAATCCCCTCTGTTTCAGCCCTGTTTCTAAAGTGCTGATGTTACTTTAGATCAGGGGTCACCAACCTTTTTTAGGATGAGGGCTACTTTAAAAAAATAAAACAAGTCAGGGGCTACTTTTACTCCTCTTTTTTTAGTTTTTTGCAGTGTATATATTTAGCACATTTTAACATTATTATATGCTTATCTTTAACCCTTGTGAGCTGTTTGGGTCTTTGGGACCCGTTTTCAGTGTTTACTAAAATAACATGCAATTTAATTATTTTAACCTGCTTTATTTGGGGGTGGACGGGCCTCACCTCCTCTAGGGGGGGCCTCACATCCTCCAGGGGGGACCTCACCTCCTCTAAGTGAAATGCATCAATCTGGTGCACTTCAGCACAACATGAATGTATGGATACAGCTCTCAACACTCAGATGAAAGGGAGCTGTATACTTTTCAAGAATCCAAACATCTTTAGAATATGATCACAACCAATAATAAATCATTTAAACTTGTTTATTCTTATCTTGTGTTACCACATTCTTTCTTTTTATTTATGCATATTTTACTAATCACTCCCCTTTTAAACTGTTTTTGTACTGTCCTATTGTACACATTGGAATGATTTATTACTTTATCTATATTAAATAGATAAAGGGGCACGCACACACACACACACACACACACACACACACACACACACACACACACACACACACACACACACACACACACACACACACACACACACACACACACACACACACACACACACACACACACACACACACACACCACACACACACACACACACACACACACACACACACACACACACACACACAACACACACACACACCACACACACACACACACACACACACACAACACACACACACACACACACACACACACACACACACACACACACACACACACACACACACAGGCTGTGTTCTCCTCCGTGGCGATGACGGTTTGCTGTTAACAAATAATAATAAACATATCTGTAAAGTGGGGGGGACACAAACAGGATTTCGAAAAGTGCTGGGGACATGTCCCCCCTGGAGATTACGCCATGCGTGTGTGCGTCAAGTGCAATAAATAAATATGCAAGTTGCAACACACACAGTAAAACTCTGCCCCTCATGTGCTGTATAGCCTGGCATGATAGGCTGTTCAATGGGGCTGATGTCTTGTGTAGATTCTGCCAGAAGGAAAATTAGCCGGGAGGTGCTACATTGCTTTTCTTCCCGACTGCAACGCTGGTCCATGGATGTATAATAAGAACGCGCTGGTCCCGCAAATCAAGCAAGAACGTGATTGGTCGATATTCATTGTGGGGGTGGGGGGAGGAGGGGTGTTAGATATAGAGTTGTAGTAAGTAGATAGAGTTTGTTATGATTTAAGTTTCGTTTATGCATGTGGTAGATTATTTTAAATTACATTTCCTTTTTTGTTTTGTGTATTTTATACATTTTGGATTTTCTTGGCGAGCTATTTTTAGAACGTGGCCGGCGGGCGCCTCACGTTGCCCCTGCGGGCGACTGAGTGCCCGCGGGCACCGTGTTGGCTACCCCTGCTTTAGATGAAAATAAGGAGCCCCTCCCCAGGCCCCTCTGAGAGATATTTGGTTACAAAGAACTCAATAGGCGCATTCACACCGCAGTACTTTTCCCACAAAGATTCATGAGAACTTAGTTCATGAGAACTCTTTTGTCGCGTTCACACCAAAAAGAGCAGGTACTAAAATTAGTTCATGAGAACCTTTTTACCCCCACGAAAGTCCCTGCTAGAGAGCAGAGAGCTGCTAGAGAGCAGGGACTTTCGTACGGCTCTCTTGTGAGAAAAGAGCTATATTTCTGATTGGCTGGGCGGATTGCAAACCACGCCCCGTAAAACTCCCAAAAAGTGTTGTGAAGCCGCCATTTTATTATCCTCGCATTAGCATTATTAGCATTAGCATTAGCCCAGCGCAGAAACGCAGAGAGACTAACTTAAGGCAACACAACATAAAACATGGGAGCGGTGGAGATGAGGAGGTGTCGGCGTTCTGGCGATTTACTCAGAAGGCTTCAGTAGAAGCTGCTGGGAGTCCCAGCAGCTTCTACTGAAGCCAGTCCCCAACTCCGGGGACTTCCGGCCGGGGACTTTGGGCGGCAGTATACGCCGTGAAGTGGTTTGCGGCCTGCCAGTAAACCCAAAGCAGAAGAAGAAGAAGTGACATCAGTGACCTTCATTTGCCTAATCCTCCCCCAGGGACTTATTCCGGTGTGAACGCGATCTGTACTTAGTTATGAGAACTAAAGAGTTCTCATGAACTAAGTTCACATGAACCTTTGTGGGAAAAGTACTGCGTTGTGAATGCGCCTAATGGTGCTCTAGGAGGAGATGCAGGTGATAAGGTGGGGGGGGGGGTTACCTTGGTTGGTGATTGGCTAATGGTTACACAAGCCAAAACATCGTCATGACATCATAAAGTGGCCACAATCTGATCAGCTCATTTTCAGACAGGTTTTTATAGAAATGGATCAGGACAAAAAGAGAGAGAATCTTTTTTCCTGAAACTTTCAGAGTCTCTTTCCACAGAGGGGACACATGTTGATGTAGAAGAGACGTGAACAAGTGGATTTTGCATAATAGGTGAGCTTTAACTTGTCAGAAATATGTTATACTCAAGAGTCATGTGGTTTATTCTTACCAGTTTTCTTCTGTTTGTTGTTGGGCAGTTTCTTGACGGAGCTGCCGTGGCTGAGGCGGCGCACCGGGCTGGTGAGCCACTTCCTCAGAGTGTTTCCGGAGCGTTTGGGACCCGGAGAGCTGGAGTGAACCGAGGTGAGCGAGGGCTGCGGCTGGAGGTCCGCCACAGACTCCGTCTTTCCATCAGAGCCGCTCACGGGATAGTTTTCTGAAATAAATCAAATACCGTTTTAGATTGAATCTAGCGTACACATTCCTTACATACTGAATATCATCGATTATATAAAGAGACAACTGATTGTTCTAGAGATGGTTTAATCCAACTTCACTTCCATTTAATCTCCCTTGTTCATTGCACAGGAATGAAATACATAACCGTTCTTCATGGTGTTTTGCAGCTAAATGAAGAAACTTGAGGACTTCATTTGGTCCTGCTACAGTTATTGCTTTATTGTCGCTCAAACTGAGGTCAGTCTCTGTGCACTGGGTGTTTGACATTTACAGTCATGTTAAATCAGCTGACAGGAACATCACGTTCACTTGTCTCAACATTATCCATCATTCATCACATTACTGCAATCCATCAGTCAGTTACTTCAATACATCAGAAACACATAAAGAGGTTCTCTATGTTCTCTCCTTTGAAGTCATATTTTCAGTTTTAACTAGCTTAAACGTAAATCTTCATTAATAAAAAGAAGGCCTTTGATTGTAGGAAAACATAGGTAAATTAAATTGAAATTACAACCGTCTTTTAGACAATTCAGTGGCAAAGGTCTCTTGCATTTAGACAGGACAGAATTTAAACTATGCAACATGTACACAGAGATATCTCTAAATCATGTCTTGACAAATCACAGAACTGAGATGTCTGTAATGATATACTTGTTGTTCCCCACATTTGGCACATACTGACATGTTCATAGTTTCACTGAGATTACATCGCATATTTAAGAGATAAGTGCATAGTTTGAAGCACGTTGACAAGATCAGGAAGTTGTCATTCTACAGTTTAGAGATAAAATAATTGTTGTGCAAATCTGCTGCAAAGCCTGAGACATCTGAACAGAACTGAGTGTGTGTGTGTGTGAGACGGTAGTCATGTGTCAGCAGTGCAGTGGATCAGCTGCACTCACAAGCAGCTGGGAGCGATGTGCTGTGGCTGCCGTGGTGTGGGGGGTATGTGTGTGTTATTCAGACGGGAAGTTAAATGTCAAGGGTCAACGGTATCTCCTGAAGTGTTTAACTGTAGTATCTATGAGTCAGAAGCTTTTTACCCACTTGTTTATAGTCTTTTTTTACCCTATTCTTGCTCTTCTGTACTCCCCTCCCCTGCATATCTGACTGCTTTAATCTCAATGCCTCCCTACTGTAGTTGAGCTGTGAAAGGCTAACATACCAAACATGTGATACTCGTGTTATTCCAATGGTGACCCTAAAAATAAATCCAGTAAAATGAAGAATTGAATCCACTTTCACTTCCTTGAAGTTTTGTAAGCAGAGCAGGTCCAATTTCAACAGTGCAACAATGTGCAAATCGACGTGTGGGTGTGTGTTTATTTACTTTTCTGAACTTTACACATAAAATATTCTTTATTTATTGAATAACAAGCGGGGTAATTTCATGTAATGCATTAAATGAATTGCCTGTGTGCTGCTTACTTTGAAGAAATTGTTTAAATTATATATTTGTCCAACACTTTTGTCTGACAGGGACTTTCTCCTGAGCTCATTCCTTCAAAGTGTGCAGGACAGCAGGTTAATGAGTGTATTTTATCTGCTGTTTAAGTTACTATCTGATGTTCAGCTATTTGGCAAAGATAAACACTCTGTTCAACACAGCAGTCCAGGTCACACAGCAGCGCTATTAAAAGCTAGCTCAGGTTCTCTTTTTCTCTTACACACACACTTGGCGGAACAAAAATGACACTACAGGGAGGTGACATTCAAAAAACTGTAGTACAATCCAGCTTTGACCGGGCTAGTGAAGACTGGTTCAAGAGACAAACTTCAGAGTACATTTGAAAACATTAAAAAGGCACTGTACAGTATTTAGTAATGCATATAACACATGCACACACACAGAACTACAAACACACACCTCTGTCGGTCTTTCCTTTGTTATTGAGCGTTTGGAGTGGCCAACCAGCACCATCAACAATACTTTCATACCATAATGATACATAATGATATTTGAGATGTCCTTAAAATAAACAACAGCTATTAATAAGTTATCATTAAGATCAGAGTTTGAGACAGTGTTCGCTTTAAGAAAGACTGCATTTACAGTAAACTGATAACCTGATCACACACTGGTGCATATTTACAGAGCATTCGACTGAATCACTCAGCAGCACACCCACATTCCTCTCGTCGGGTCAAGTCAGGTCTTCACTACAGCTGCAAACGTAACTATTTTGACAATGGAGATTTGTTTTTCCTTCAATAACGGTAGGAAATGAACGTTTTAGGGGTCTCAACAGACAAAACAAGACATTTAAAGACATCACCAGGATGAACACTTTCAGTATGACTTTTTACAGACAAATATTCAATGAATCTAGAAAATTATCTGCAGATAAATCGCTGAAAATAATAGTTGGTTGCAGCCGTATTCTGAACCCAAGGTTGTTACTACACTTGGTCTGGATTGAACAATAAAAGAGAGGAATTGCATAAATAGACAGAGACTGCAATCAACCCCCCCCCCCCCCAGCAGGATTTCTCCTTATTATCCCCTTCACTCTCTCTCACTCTTTCTGTCGTCACTCTGTCCCATTCGTCCCGTTTCACTGGTTACTCCCTGAAGTGCTTTCGAGCAAATGCAGCGATGTGTTCTTAAGAGAGGGAAACATGTCACCTGTGTGTGTGTGTGTGTGTGTGTGTGTGTGTGCGTGTGTGCGTGTGTGTGTGCGTGCTGTGTGTGTGTGTGTGTGCGCGATTTCAGCAGAACCAATGTCACTCATTGAGGGGCCTTAACAGCTGGCTGACGACAGAAACTCATTACAGACTTGAGTGCGCACACACACACACACACACAGCTGACTGATAAGAAATCACTGCTTGAACTTCTTCAGAGAAAAATGACGCAGCAGGACATCAGTGTGATGCTGTCAGCTTGTTGTATTTGACCAGTCACCAGAACAACCAAGAACAGATCCTTTAAAGGAAAATACCATAAAATGAGCTAAAAGTGTGACAAAAACAACTCTTCACACAAGACCCAATTATTGTGCACTTTAAAAAGCTTTCATGTTGCAGCCTTCCTTGGCCTATGAAGCTCAGTTGTCGCTGTGATGATTCATTAGGTGAGACCTCAGTAATGAGAAGTATGTGATATGTACTTTATGGCCAACAACACACATTCCTTTATATCTTATCATCAGTTGTCATGAAACAAACATGATTCATCTCAATACAAAACATTCCACACACACACACTCATGATCTCAGGGGAGGACACCAGGGAAGGGAAATATTCATATCAGACATGAAGGTTTTTGTGACAGGAAGTCTCGAGGCGTCGGTTGCCACATAATTACTGTCATCCAGACAATGGAAAGTAGCAGCATTGTTGATGTGGACTTCCAGGTTTTCTTTTCATCTTCTATCTGTTCCCGGTACAGCACGCCCACACCAACATTACAGGTTTTCTGACCCGTGAAACTTCAAAGCTACACAAACACTTTCTACGGCAACGTTATTTTGACAAGAAAATATATTTTAGAGGACGACATAAGCCTCCTATGAACTGAAATCAACATTTTCAGTCATCATTAACTAAGATCCAAAGCCAGACTTGATACAATTAAAAAGTGATGGTTAGGAATGGAGTATTGCAGTTTTAGTTATACTGGATACTGTGTACTACAGAGTACAGCAGAGTCACACTGACGGCCAAAGTCAGGTGAGACCAAACAAGGAAGCTTTTGTTTAGCCGCCGACAGAAAGACAGACTGTCTACTGTTAAAATCCCCATCACTCACTATCTTTAATCTCACACATACACAGAGACACACACACTCTCACACACACATCTGACGTCCAGTCTGTGGAGACCAAACCAGCAGTCTGAATGCAACAGAACAGAGGTTTTGTCTTGCGTGCTCTCTCACACACTTGGTTTCATTCTGTAATTACACTGCACACACACATTTTGTCTATGAATGGCTCTATTGACAAGAGAGTATTGAAACTTGACACAAACACACATCGACACTCACACACACGCAAAGGACCAGGTAAGTAACTCAAAAAAGTCCATGTAGTTACGACTAACTCTCGCCATATGCACTGAACGGTATCTGTGGAATTCACTTCAAAATGCATGCAACATGAAATGCAAAGCATACTTTAGGTAAAAACAGTGTGTGGAAAGTTCAAAAGCTGTCATTTTCATTACCTGATCGCGCCTGCTCTGCACTCATGCTTTAATGCCAATGGCAGGAAGTGGCAGTAATCTGGGAAGATGACAATCCTCTCATTCCTCTCTCTGTTACGTCCTCTCTCCTGTGCCGTACATATTTGGCATAACACGCAACCACACTCTCTATGCAAACAGAATTACTGATAATTATAAGCTGTGGCACTCATTTAATGATAGGACACTATGCTAAAGGTCCCACGTCATGGCCTTTCCACTGATCATAATTCCATTGTTGAGGTCTACTAAAATAGATTTATATTGTGCAATTTTCCAAACTCACATTGGTTTCTCATACAGCATCTCTGTAAAGTATGTGTATTCACTCTCTGTCCTAAACGGCTTGTTGGAGCTCCTGCCCCCCTCCCTGTGAGCCCAGTGTGCTCCGATTGGTCGGGACGTTGCGAGGCTCGCTGCTCAGTGAGCTGGCTTACTGGTGTGGTTTCCGAGTCTGCGATACAGCGGGACAGCGCGAAACTCATCCTGAGCACACACAAACACTCACAGCCGAAGTAAAAACAATAAGTGTGGCTTGACATTGAGAAAGACCATTTTTTAGAACGCTGTGAGAATGGGTTTGCGGAGAGCATTTCTCCGCGATCCCAACTCGTCTATTACCAACCAGGGGACTCCCTGTTAGTTGAAAATGTACGCTAAAGGTCCCCACCTCTCCTGGTGTGTGAGGAGCTCCGCTTTGTAAATTTTGTACAGGTCCATTTTGATTCCCGTAAGAAACAAATAGAAAAAGAGAAATGTCCAACGAGGCGTTCTGGGGCAGCACAGAC